CACGGCATTTAGCTTTCCAAATATGTCAGACAGGTAGAAGATATCACTTTTTGCATCAACAAGTTTCTGTCCAAGTTCTGTTTCACTCAAGAAAGAAATAACACTGTCCAAGAAAATGATGCAAGCAATTACCCTTCTCTGTTGACCTCATGCTTGCTTCCCCTCCATAAAATGGAGGATAGCAAGCGCTCGAGTGCCTTCTTATGATCCTTACAAAGAGAAAGTACAGAAAGAGGTAAAGGACAAGATGTAAGTGGCACACGACTCCGCCCTGCCCTTCACGAACAACTTCCTTCGGCGCCAAGTCTGTCCGGCCGCGCCCACATTTGCCTGTACTTCTGACCAATTTTTCTCCAGCTGGAGGTCCGGTCCACACCACACTCCAAGAATGTGAGCAGGACCGTCCATTCAACCAAAGAGCCCTGGAAGATCGACCCCTTCCAGGCACCTAACCGCAAGCCAGAAGACTTGTCGCGGTTAATCTAGATCCCTGTAACCTTTTCGTACCGTTCAATCGCCTTCAGTACTAACTCAATGTCACTGAGGGACGACACGAAAGTAGATACGTCATCGGCGTATGCGGAAACCCTGGCTTGAGCCCCTCCAGGGACAGCTATTCCACGTAGTGCCGGACTGCACGTTCAGTCCCTTAGCCGGTGAGAGGAGAGGTTCAAACGCCAAAGCGCAAAGTAAGGGCGACAGTGGACAACCATGACGAACCGACCGAGTTAGCGTGAAAGCACCCGACAGATTCCCGTTTATTTGTACGACAGTACTGGGGGAGTGATACAGCAGGCTAATCCAGTGGCAGAAGTTGGGTTCGAATCCGGCGGCCTGCAGCACAACAGCAAGGTAACAATGGTTGATGCCTTGGACTAATATTAAATGATCAGCGCAGCCTCATGGTTGTCTTTTACACCCTCTAGGATCGTGCGGATCTGATGCAGATCGCTTTGAATTGTTCGGCCCTTCACATCGCAAGTCTGCTCAGGACCCAAAAGAGACTCGGCAACTGAATGCAAGTGCTCCTTCAGGATCTTAGACAAAATCTATAAAATTCACAAGTCATTTACTGCCCCAGTCAACCAGATTTTGGAGTTTGTTTTTGCGGCCAATATCCAAGTTAACTTTGTCAGCAATGACAGATTTACTATGGAGACAGGAGTAACTAGTAGTGTTGTCTGCGTAGATGTCTACTTCTAAAACTGATGACGTCAGGAAGATCATTGATGAAGATCAGAAACCGTGTAGGACCAAGGATAGAGCCTTGAGGAACACCAGCGTTCGTATGAAAGGAACTCGAAGAGAACGCGTTCAGGACAAACTTCATTTCAGGGTTAGACAGGAATGATTGAATTAAATCAAATAATCGTCTTGTAATACCATATCCCTGAAGCTTACGTAAAAGGCCAGCATGCCAAACCTTGTCAAACGCCTTCGATATATCTAGAGCAACAGCTCGAGCTTCGCCTTTATTAGCAAGAGCTTGGTATACATATTCCGTTATGGCCATAAGCACATCAGTGGTAGACCGGGCAAAGCGAAAACCATATTGTTTGTCAGAGAAAGAGTGGAGAGTGATGAGACGGTAGTTAAATTGGTCAGAAGGGTCACCAGAGTTCTTAAAGACCAGGACGACAGAGGAAGTCTTCCAACAGGCTGGAGATCAAGAATCGGCAAGGCAATAGTTGTATAGTTTGGAGAGAACTGGAGCCAGCTCAGGGGCACATTTCTTTAGGACTACGGTTGGTAGTCGTTACCACTTGCTTTATAAGAGTCTAAGTTAGAGATGATTTCTAATACCATCGTTGAGGTTATGCACATCTCACTCGGTATAGCCTCAGTTCTAGGGGAAAAATCAGGTCTAGGCACCCCGAATGAGTTGAATAAGAATTTCCGAGCAAAGCATTCAGCCTTATCAGCTGAGGATTTTAGGACTACGAATTGATTGAATAGAGGAGGGATTAAGTATGTGCTGTAGTTCATCACACTCTCGCAGAGCCGCCAATAACTTTAGAATCAAACTTGCGAGATGCAATACGTTGTTTCATACTATCAGCAAACAGTAACTTTGCTTCATTGAGGACACGCTTACACTCATTACGAGCAAAGACAAAGAGTAGTCTGTTGCAATCAGACATGTCGCTCCGGTACAGACGGAAGAAGTGATTCCTATGGGTTATAGTGGCAGGGCACACAGGTGAGAAGCAAGGAGATGAGCGCGATTTAATTTGGTATTTTCGTGCTGGGATGTAGCTTTGATGTTGGCTTTTACCCAGGAGGAGACCTCAGACGCACATTTTTATACGGGATGGTTAAAAACCACATTCCAAGGGATGTCGCGAAGAAAATCACGGAACGAGTCCCAGACTGCACGTTGATAACAGAAAGATATTCTGTTAGTTGGGAGTTCTTCGCTGATATTAATACCGTTTTCGAAAATCTGCGCTAAACTTCAAGCAGTGATTAATAACTTTATAAATCGAAAACAAGTTATATTTTTATGTATTTTCATATTCACATGATAGCAATCTTCTCGCGTGTCCAGCACCCTCATGAGTATGCTCGCTGGCTCAAGAACTACCTGAATCTGCTTCAATCTTGTCTCTTGCGTTTCTCTCACAGTTCCATTTGTCTTAGTTATTGTTAACACAATTTCAAGAAAATCTTTAATTGACATTTCAGGTCTTGGAAAGTTTCATTTTCATTTTCTCTATTAGATCCGGTTTTCTTACTTGGATTGGTGGTCGGTTTAGATATCAAAATCTTTTACTTTTTTATTTTCTAGGCTTTTGCTTTGTATTCATAGTATTTGTCTACATGGTTGAACTCAAGCTATTTTCACAGTTCCCAATACATTACTCTTCCTCATCTATTGTGATTTTTCTTTCAAGCTTATTTTCTACATCCACTTCTCTTATAATTTAGAGTTTATCACTTTCTTCCAAATTTGCTATTGTTTTTTTTCTTCTTTGTTTTGGCTTTACTTTGAAACATTTGTTCTAAGCTGCAATGATAAGAAATTTTTTCAATTTTTTAGATATACTCTCAGTAGCCACTGCCAGAAGACATTTTAGCTTCTGGATTTCTCTATTTTCTTTTCCCACTGTTCTATTATGTTCAATTTTTCTCATTTTGATAATTTTATTGCGAATACAAGAGCTAGTCTGTAGCGATTATTTTGGAAATCAAATTATAGCTTTTTACATAGAAAAGACTATTGGTATTATCTCTGTAGTGTATAGTCTTATGTCTCATTATTAATATCCTCGTCTGACAATCCGTTGATATAATCTCATCTCTTGTTTAGCCTAGGTACTGAAATATATGATTATAATTGCTTATTTCCGTTGTATTCCAGAAGTCGCATTTTCCTTCTTTACTGGTTTCTTTACTCTGTTTAATAGTATCGGTACTATAACAAATAGAAGTCATCCACACTTGCTATTTATCTGGTAAAGATTTTCACATCATTACGGGATCTATTTGTAATTGCTTGTCATACCTATCTCTCTCTGTATCTCTTTTGATGTTGTTTGTTTTATCTCTTCTCATTCATTGTGTTACTTCTCCTTCGTTTAGACACTTTTGTAGTCGTTGAAGAAGTCTATCAACTGTTACAAGTTTTATATGATTATTACGTATTTATACATATACTTGTTCACACTAGATGTTTGGTAGTCATCGGTGAGGATTGATTGACAAAATATTTCCTCAAATCTGAATATCGTCACCGATGCCGACAATACTGTGCTTTGTACTCTCCGAAACTTCCTCGAATTAACTCCTGTTGTATAATAGCAAATGCTCATATACGTTTATAATCTTATAACCCAATGAATACATGTAGATTCTTATAAATGAAGAAATAGAAGAGTATACTGAAACTTTCACAGGTCGACGAAAAGCCTTCCAAAAAATTGTCTTTTGATGGATTTTGTGGAATGGGTCGGGTCGAAAAATCTTAAGTTTTAAACATGATGACGAGTATTTACTAAAGATGATTTCTCGACTAGACGATGAGATAACTGCACAAATCCTGATTCTAAAAATTGAAATTCTAAGTTCTATTTGACAGTCAACATTGAAAAGGCGGACAATCTGATATTTCGGATCATCGAAAATTTAAACATCAATTTTTAAAACTTATAAGCAGACACATGTGATCAGGAAGAAGTTGATATTGAACTTATTCAAATATTTTTTTTACTCAAGCTTCAACTTTCTTGATGCTCCAATTATTGATGCTTTATCATCATAAAAATATTTTGAAACAATTCATAAGAAATATTAACTATACAATACATTTTTACATTAAATACAAAAGTGAAAGTGAAGACAGAAAAGAAAAAATAGTGGTCAGTTAAGGAATACAAGTAAAGTAAAAGAATTTGTTCAAGCTTGAGATGAGAATGAAAAATTATGCCGAAATAAAAGTAAATGAGAGATAAGTGACCTAGAAAGAAAGAAAGAAAATAGAGAGATTGATGACGTTTGTTTCTTGCTTAAAGCTTGCTAAATCTTCCATTCTAGCTTGGAATTCGCACCATATCACTTTTTATCCGATTTATCAATTGCCCTCCACTAAGAATAGATACCAATCTGATATCCTATCCAATTTTTCTCATTTTATCTTTTACTTATTTCTCTTTACTTCCCGCCATTCTTTTTTCTTTGACAGAATAATACAGACTTAAATTCACTTTCAATCTCTCTTTTTCTTCCTTCCTCTCGCTTATTCCTCTTACTTTTCTGTATCTTACTTTCAACTCATTGCTATCTAAGGCAGCAGTCAGCACAACTTTAACATACATAGAAGATATCCATATCTATATTTGCATTTAGGGGGAAAATACACATATATATTTCAGAATTTTTAACACACACACACACACACACACACACACACATGCATGCCTTCTTTCACATTTTTGAAACAGATATAATAACTTACATAAACGTAACTGTTGTGTATATAAATCTGTGGTGATAGAAGCCAGATGCAACACTTGCCATTTGCTCCCGGAGCCGGCCCAGGTGTGTGAAGGAGAGAAACAGAAAAAAGAAGCCAACTAACGGGAGGAAAAATAGCTTGAAACATGAAAACCTTTCTCTATTTTCTATTGTGCCTATTTATCGCTTCAGGAAAGGCAGTCAAACCTTTCAAGTGGTCTTATTGCAATCCAAAGAGTAAGTAGTTTTTATTTTTTTACTATTGTTTTTTAATTATTTTCCTTTTGCGCCTCTTTTTCGTTCACGTCCATACACATTAGGAATGAAAAAGAAAAGAAAATACCCAAATAAGCAATCTCATGTACAAGCCACATGCATGCGTGTGCTTACATATGGACACATGTTCCCTCACAATTGCACACGCACGCACATATTGCTGAAAAAACACATATTCATCAATGCATAGTTAACCATAAAATTGCTCACACCCAATTTTCTGACACAAGAACTCATAAACTATAAATGCGAATGCACTTCAGAGCACCTATAGAAGTACACTTCTCAGAATTCAAAATAGCTGTGTCAAGTCTCCACAAATTTTATCATGTTCCCGAAATACATATCCTGAATAATAAGTACAAATTCTATAGGGTTTTAAAAATGAGAGACTGCATGAAGATAAAGTGAAGATCTGTTTGAGGAAAATATCTGAAATTAAGAAAGCAAAAGGTGAAAAGTTTAAAATGAACGAAAAAGAAATTAAAGATAAGGAAGTTCTTAAACCAAAACAAATACATTCTTGAACGAAATCATTTGGAATTAAGCTTAAAAAGGAACATTAGAATGTCTTCAATGAGCATACATTAATATTTTTAAATTTAGATGATGAGGAAAATTGTTCATACGAATCTTTCGAAAAGAGTTTACCAACGAAAGAGTAAAGAGAAACACTTATTACAAAATAGAAAGCTGGCGTAATTTCTCAGTGAAATATAAAATGAGTGACATAATTCTGGCGTTGAAGAAAATTTTAACTAGAAATGTTTACAGAAACATAACTAATTGATTTCGAATAACGCAACAGATATTCGAATTCAGTTAAAACATTTTGAATTTCTGTACAAGAACACGGCCCATATTTCGTTCATTTTATTTTCCAACCCTTAGATAATCATTTACGGCAAGCAAAGCCGATCGGAAATAAAGAGTAATCTCCAGTGAGACTCGAACTCGCATCCTTTTCCGAGGAAAGCCTGACTTAATTGCCTAATGATGAAAATCTACATAAATTAATGTAAAAGAAATAGTAATAAAAATGAATATTACCTATTAATTTTTCATCTTCAGATTATTTTACTAGGTGCATTGTCAAACTAAAACTAACTTTTGAAACATTTCTCATTTTTTAAGCTCAAAATGGTTAAATTCTGAAGCAGATATCGTCTCAAGGCATTTGTAAAGTTAACAATGTAAAATAAAATAAAACTCATAAAATTCAATCTCACAAATAAAGATAAATGAAAAATATCATTAAAGTATTCCTCTTTTGATGCGTATTTGGATGTGTCTGTATGTTTTTGCTATGTATGTGCGTGTGTGTGTATGTGTGTGTGTGTGTGTGTGTGCGTGTGTGAGAGAGAGAGAGAGAGAGAGTGTGTGTGTGTGTGACTATGCATATGGTTTTCATTTTACCCGGTCAGATCCACAAGAAAAAACACATACTCAACATCTTGTTCCCAGAAGTTACTGTGGCGTCATATATTCTGGGGTTAAGTTAGTACAGACATATGATAGAAGTTATAAATAGAGAATGTGGAACATGATCATGGCTATTTTTTTAATATTTTTTAAAAATATTTTAATAATTATTACTTGAAAAGAAAAAGTAAGGGATATTTTCCACTGGTGATTTTTAAATGTTGTTTCGTGTTAAAAAAATATTCTTTAAAATACACACGACCACACACACACACATGCACACGTGTATATATATATATATATATATATATATATATATATATATATGATAAAATAGAACAAATAGGAAACGTATATTGTCATCCTGTCGTATTCCGATCCATATTTGATCTGCATTTTATCATTAATTTACACGGGGAACTGGTGTAAAGTTTCCGTTCAGACCCATTTTGTTAAATTTGGTAGTTAGCACAATAGTAGTGTAACATAGAATCACATCCGCCTACCAGTCATAGTCTAAATAAAGATTGGTGTCAACATTTTTCTATCACTCCAAGTACATTTATTTCACTTTCTTTTCACGTCGATAAACGTATAAAAATAACTTAAATTTTGGATGTGATGCTTGGTAAATATTTTCTCCAGCGCTGAAAAGGGATTATACTCTACTTTGAATAACGATTCTTATCTATTTTTAATGTCTCCTTAGATATTTCAATAACTTTTGGTTTAATCAGTATACTACTTACAAAAGCAGAAGTTATTGAAATATAATCTCATATTTCTTTGATTGTCAAGTAATTATTATTAATTATCATTTCCTTTGATTTCTATTGTATCCTCATTTTCCTTCCAACCAAAGGCCTTAGGTCAGACATAGCGTCATGCACATTTGCGTGAAAATATTAAAACACACATTTTATATAAATGAAGCCCTTCGTAAAGTGTGAGCTGTGCATGTGAGGGCATGTTTTGTATTTCTTTAAGACATGTATTTTCAATGAGTCTATCAGAACCCATAAATAATGTAAATAAGGACGTTTTTCAATCAAAACCAGGGCCCCAACCACACCAACATCCTTATATTCTTTGAAAAAAAATCTTCAAAATTATATTACATTACAGTCTGCAGCAATTGCCATGTCAATAAAAAAGCACATTCTGTTTTCATTGTCTTTGATCAGTATGTCTGTCCTATAAGTTTTGATTATTCTCTGTCTGTCTGTAAAGTGCTATAAAATTGTTTCAGATTCTATGTCTGTAATCGAGTCTGGGTTTTGTTCATAATAAATGTCTTGTAGTTTCCTTCCTATAAAAGTTACAGATTTTCCACTGCAGATATTAGCCCAACCCTGTAATGCCGAATTTTATATTCGATAGTTACTAATACCGTGCAACCTAATACAAGATGGTTGATTCTGAATATTTATCGCAGAATATGAATTTGGGCTTAGCACAATTTTTCAATATATTTACTTGATAATTTCTAGTTAGCAAGAATTGATTCTGTGCAACAAAAATAAAACTTTCAGTTTCAGCTTTTAATCCTGCGCTATGCAAACCAATTATGGATACAGGCTTTGTCTATATCCGCTTGTTTGGTACGAGCAAAATAATGACTATGTTCAGGTTTATTTTGCTATTTCTGCATTTGGTCCATTGCATTTGCTTCTGTTTTAGGTTCTTTGTCGTTGCAGTAGGTGGAATATGGCTTAACTTGCTCTTCTTCATCCACTTAAAATTACCTTTTGAATTTGTTTGCTTTTTTACGGAATAAATTTTTATATCTTTCGTGACACAAATCATCATCCAGTCTTCTTTCATTTTTAGGTATCTTTGAAAAACGATTGTTGTCGTTTTGAAAAACTATTTTAGTTGAACTAATCCTCTGCCTCCTTCGGATCTGGACACATACAGATTATCAGCATCAGCGTTAGCATTAGCCTAAGATTTTCATGTCTAGTAATCATTACCAAAAAGTGTCTTCAAATTTCCACGACGTTTTTCATTTTGTTCACATGATCCATATTCTCCATAGTCCCAAAAGCCTTCTTCAAATTTCCGATTCTAATCACGATTCTAGTGTTCTTTACACATTTCCTATCACGCTTCAGCGAATGAACACGATCCAAACTTTCATATTCCACACCTTTCTCAGCTCGCAAAAGGTCTTGATATTTTTCCATTTTTCACTCGCCTTCATATTTACTCTGTAAAAGTTCTAAGAGATTTGTCCTTCACTTCGATCAGATCTGCTTTTCTTGCTTGGATGGTGGGTTAGTTCGAATCTCAAATATTTTGCCAAATATATAAATTATATTATTTATCATCTCATCTCTTTCTAAATTGAGATATATTTTTCGCAATTTCTTTTTTTTTCCTTTTATCATTTCATCCCGAGCAAGGCAACAGAGACACTAACACGCACACGTATATATATATATATATATATATATATATATATATATATATATATATATATATATATATATATAACGCCATACGCCCGGGGTTTCGTTGGGACTACGATAGCCGGGACGCAACGAGAAAAATAAAAAAAAATAAGTTAGAGATCCCAAGGTTCGATATAAAATTAAAGAATAGAATGTTGGGAGGGGAATTCTCCAATTCCGGACGTCGGTAAACGCAGAGAGAAAATGAACAATTCGCAGACACAGAACAACAGAAGACAACACGAGAATATATATAATACAAAGATTTTATTTATAGAATATACAAAGTGTGAAAGTAAGTATAGAAAACTAAATAATACAAAGGATGGGGAGGTAAGTTACCAATTAAACAGATACTAATGCGGCGAAATACATATGAATACAGAGATAGCAGATTATAAGATATAGAAAACATGCAGAAACTTACATAAGGTTGGAATCGACGTCGGTTGATTATTATCAGGGTACAGTTTGATCAAAAGAATATTCATACACTTCTCTGAAAGTAAAAGATGGGGTTGTCAATGTTCTAATATGAGTTTTTGATTGGCGACGTCCAATCCATGTTGATGGCGAGGAGAACACACAGAAAAATCACGGGAGTGTAGCCGACTTGGGTTGAGGATTTTGTTCTAGATTCTCTCGTCGGTCCTTTGGTTTTTGGTGGCATCTAATTCTTCTGGCATCAAACAACGAAGTCTGGTTTTGGTGACAACTGCTTCTTCTAACGGCAAACAGCTAAGACTGGTTTTGGTGACGTCCGATTCCTCCGAAAGCCAGCAGCTAAGTGAGATCGTTGTCATCTCAACACGTGCGAAACGAAACTGCTACGAGTTGAGTCACGTGTTGGCCCACAAAAAAAGTATGCGTCATTCACGGGCCCTGTTAATGTCATTCGCACTTATCATCAAACAGCGTTTGTTTGGCCTACGCATCAGAGACCAGGTAGGAAATTGGAGTGGGGGAGTGAGGAAGGGAAGGTTCTTTTCCGAGAACTGGCCCTGACTCATCCGGGCATAAAAAAATATATCCCACAATCTGCATATTCAAGAAATAAAGAAGTTATTAAGATTCATATGTTTCGTCGCAAATACCCAATGTACTTAAAATATGCTTATAAAATCTGAAGGGAGCGTACAACTGTTGGGCTAACGTAATTATATATATATATATATATATATATATATATATATATATATATATATGTATGTATGTATGTGTGTGTGTGTGTGTGTGTGAGAGAGAGAGAGAGAGAGAGAGAGAATAATAAAAGGACATAATTTAAGAGGACAGAACATAATGATTGACATTGCATTTTAATTTTTGACTGGAACGCAAAATGTCGGAAGAAAGTTTCAAAAGCGAGAAGTGTGAGAAAAGAAACTGTTAGTAAATGATGATTACATGTAGGCATTTAGACTAATAATGCATTTAAATTCATAGAGTCTAGGTTCTATAGAGGAGAATTCATTAGAGCATTTATCGTGAAAGTATTTATAGAAAGGCACAGGGAAACTACATTACGACGGTGGGAAAATGACGGGAGTCGAGATGCTAGGCCAGGACCAATAACATTGCAGATTCTTTTTTGTATTTCATCAAGGATCTCTAAATATATCAGAGGAGCACCAGACCAGATTCGGCGACAATATTCTAAGCCTGGATGAATGATAGACTTGTAGATATGTAACATATATTCTGGTGAGAAATTTGTCTAGCCTGACACAGTGAACCAAGCTTCATAGAAGATGACCTAGCAATCGATTCGATATAATCTTTCCACTTCATTTCAGTGGAAAATGTTAGACCGGGAAGGCTGCACATGTCACTATCCTGGGGCCTAGCACCAACTATGATAATAGAAGGTAGAAAGGATTCTCTCGGACGATTAATTAGAAAGCAGTTTTATTTTGGAAGCGTTAAAATTGACAAACCATTTCTTGCCCGAGTTAACAACAGATGTAGGTCATTTTTAAATCAGCTTTCAATTATCGGACCACTCAGACTTCCTGTTAAGACAGGAATAAACGTTTTTTGTCATTCGCATAGATATCGAGTTGAGAACTGACGCCATCAGGAATGTCATTGATAAAATTTAGGGAAAATGTAGGTTCGGGGTCTGGGGGACGCATGCATGAATGCCAAAATATCTATAAGAGTGGCCGTTCAAGACAATTTTCATTTCGCGATTCGATAAGAGAATCTGAATCAGTTAAAAAATTCGTCCAGAAATACCATAACCTTTGAACTTGCGAAGAAGACCAATATGCCAAAGTCTGTTAAATGCCTTCGAGATATTGAAAGCAACAGCCCGAGCTACAGCATTCTTATCTAAAGCCTGATAGACTCTATCAGCAATAACCGTTAACACATCAGCAGTTGACCTAGATATGTAAATGCCATATTGCTTATTTGAAAGAAAACCCTGCTAGGTTCTCGCCCAGCAGGGTTTTCAATCAATTCAAAGTTGATTAGAGTTACTAGTACTTTGTCAAAAAGTGGTAGAATGCCGATAATTGAAAGGATCAGATGATATGCATGGGTTCTTAAAGACATGAACTACAGTAAAGGATTTACAACAAGCAGGAAAACCAGAAGTAGCAAGACACTTATTTTACTGTTTAGAAAGAACAGGAGCCAGTTTGTGAGCACATTTCATAAGGACTATTGAAGGGATACCATTAAGTCAACATGCTTTGGGATGTTTTACCGTATTCTAGTTTTTCATTATATATTTACTCCTCTATATTGCCATGACCATGATTGTAGATCCATGATAATTTCTATTTGAATTACAATTTTCGATAGTTAGCCAGTTCAGTTACAACTATTTTCTTTTTTCCGTTTTTTTTTCATTTCAAACATTGTGCGTTTCGCAAATCCAATTTCCATTCTTACATGTTTACATAGTTCGTATGACAATGCTTAATTCCTTCTGTATGTATGGAGGCGGGGGGTGCCATTTTTTGCGAAGTTGTGAATTTGTGTGAATCTTGGTCGTATTCCTTTATTTTTTTGCGATCTCAATATTTTTTTTATATTTTAAAGACCCCGGTATCATCAGAATAAATAAACTACAAGTATCCCCATCTCCACTTCCCTCACCTGGAATATTTTATGTAACGATGGAAGAAGAAACACTCGCGCCTCTTAATTCCTCTAAAGTCCAACTTTCAGTGAAAAAGTTGGGTTTTATCAATGTTCCAGTGCCATGCATTACCAAATTTGGTTCCTGGTGAGTTCAATAATGCATTCAGTTATCTTACAACTGAAAGTAGTTTTTTTTCCGTTTCATCAAAAGGAATAAACTATATAGTCTCACGTTTTGAATACTTAAAAAAATCTTCTTTACTTTATTTAGAAAAAATAATTTGACTAATTTTGATCTGAGATATATTTTAGTATTTCATACTGCTCCGTAATATCAGTAGCGTTCTACGTTTATTTTTCTTCGACATTTCAACAGTTTAAATACTACGGTGGATGCCACTCTCGTATTTTAAATGCCTCACTTGTGTTTTAAATTCTTCACATGATACTGGTTGTGGTCTTGGGCAAAATTATCAATTCAATTTTTAAATATTTGTATGACATACTATACAAAATTTTAATTGATAAAATCCTTCAATGTCAATAATTATTATCTCAGTAATTGCCTAATTTTAACCGAAACCATTTTAATAATCTTTGTACTATTTCAGCACTTACGGAGACACTTGTACTTTATTGGATGAAATGGAAAAGGAAAATTATGCCGGTTTACTTGGTCCAATTGCTACTGCACTTAAAAATATATATCACAAAAAAGGCTTGCGTTATAAATGCCCTGTGCCCCGACAAAAAATCAAGGTAACAAAGGAAAAGTTTCCTCTTCCGGCTACTTCATCTGTCATGAAAACATTCCTGCAGGTAATTTTCATCCTATTAAAATTAGCGCTTGTTAAAAGTGTCAAAATTTGAAAAGGTATCACACTTTCGTGAAACTAATAAATTGTATTATATTTTTAAGATTTATTATGCCAAATTGAAAAATTTAGCTCCTTTCGAATTAACCTATTTTCTCCGTCCATTACTTTTGATGTGCTAAATAATTTCATTTATTATTTTATTCTTTGCAGAGCACATGAGTAAGATGAAGACAATTGACTTAATAGCATAATCGATTAGTCTTTTTACTAAATGAAACAATAGAAAAAAGAGTATGAACAACAGATTTCACTTAAGAAAATTCTAACTTCAAACATTTCAATTTTTTCACCTGTGATTGCAACTATTCTGATCTTTCACCCTAGAAAGTAGATTTATCGGATACATACATATATGAAAAGCCAAAGGATCAGAGTAGATTTATTTTACATTGCATTCTCTTTTTGAAGTTTATGTTAAAAAATAGAATATAGTTTCAAAATAAGGCAAAACGAGAAACAGTTAATGAAATGTTCAGTATTGAATAGATCTAATTTAAAAATAATCTTTTCTTTCAGGGAGACTTTAAAGCCACTATCAAACTGATTGACAACAAAAGCAACAAAGAGTTTTTCTGCATAAATGTTGAGATGTCTGTAAGTACTGGTTGTACTGGCTGGCTGTGTGGAAGACGCTGACGAGATAATGAGCAAGAATTAGAAACTCGTGTCAGCAAAAATGGAATGCATTTTCGCTTAGCCATAAAACAAATCAGATCATCAATAAATATATATATATAATCAATTTCATTGCTGCATATAATTTTATTTTATCGCATATTATTGTCGATCAAAATTCAGGTAAATTTAAAACCTCTGCTTTCTCGTATTTGGTACTAATCGCTTGATATATATTAACAAAGGTCGCGTACATTTCTATAAAATAAAATATGAATTTTATTCTATGAATTATTCAATCGAGTATTATTGTTCTTGCTTAAAATAGAACTTCTTGGCCAGTGAATGTAACAATTTTGTTCAGAGTTATATCAACTTTCATCGTGACTTTCATTACAATAATTCCCCGAGTTTTCATTCATACTCATATTTTTGCCATTCTAAAATATATTTACTATTTCAAGTATAAATCTATTATTTACAAACCAAATCTATTATTTACAAACCAAATCTATTATTTTACAAAAATTAAATAAATTAATTGAAAAACACCTAGAAGCTAGGATGTATCTTACCAGTATAAAGATAAAGATATTGAACAAAATTTTAGTTCAAAAGTTTAATCTTTTGTTTTCTTTTTTCATTCAAATTACAAATTTCATTCATATGTTTATATTCCTGTCATAACAACAACATAATCGAAGAATACTTAGGAAAACAAACAATATTTTCTTAAATTATAGAAAATGAATTCTCTATATATACAAAAATAGAAAGAAGTGTAAAAGAAGGATGTGTCTCCTCAGCAAACTTACTCAACCTTTACAGTGAGGTGATTCTGAGAGAATTAGTAGTCCTATCAGGATTCGTTATTAGCCGCCACAATTTTAACAACATTAGATATGAAGATGACACTGTGTTAATAGCAGACACATAAGGAAAAGTACAGGAACTCTTAAAGAAGGAAGTAAAGGAAAGTGAGAAGATCAAGGATCAAACATCAATTGTAAGAAGAAAGAATTGTATGGTTGTCAGGAAAAAGAACAACCCAACACATAATTACAAATTGGAAAGACCAAAATCAAGTAAGTAGAAAAATTTAAATATCTGGGAAGAGTTTTTTTTTTTTTTTTTTTTTAAAATAAAAGACGGAAAGTGCGACACTAAAAACTGAAGATCCACCGAAATAACGGAAGTTGCCTTTTAAAAACAAAGCGAAGAATTAAGAAACAGGTAAATTTCGTAAGAAACAAAAAAAGGAAAACGAAGACTACTGAACTGTTATTTAATATTGGTTCTCCTATATATAGCAGTGAATGCTGGATAATCTCCTTACAGATGAAAAACATACATTAAGCAACAAAAATGTGCTTCTGCAGCTGGATGAGGAGGATACCATGGCCTGAACATATTAGCAACGAAAAAGTTTCAGAGAAAATGGGAACAAAAAAATACTTATACTTAAAAAAAATAGTTGAAATTTCTAGGGCACAGAATGAGGAAAGAGGGTTTAGAAAATTTAATACTCACGAGTCAAAGGAACAGAGGAAAACAGTACATGACCAACAAAACGAGATTTTGTAAATGGTTGACAGAACAGGGTTTTGGAAAGATAGCAAAGACAAACTTTAACAACAAAATTGTGGTGTTATGCATTGTGTCAAGGGAATGTACTCTTCTTTAATTGTTTGGAGTTATTTCCCCTGGACTATCAATGGCGATTGTTTTGTATTTTATTCCTATAAGTTGTAGTCATTTTTAATTTTAAAACAGAACATAATTCACATAATTATGAAGAGAGAAAGACCTATTATTTATATTTTTAAATTGAGGGATTTCCATTTATTATTTTATAATCTTTTCAAGAATATCCGTAAAAATTACTTGTGAGTAAATAGAGCAACCTTTGGTGTGTTTGATATGCAAATCGCTGCTGCCTTGTATAAAAGTTGTATAGCATATCTTTGTTCATTTATTGTTTACATTTTACTTCTTATTATTCTATATTAATTTTTTTATCGAAACAAGCCAACTTTGACACAATACCAAATTATTAAAACATCCTTGTCCAATACTTCGATTTAAAAAATAGTTGCCGGTGGTTGATTACTTGTTGTGTAATATGCGAAAATTATTGAATGTTTTTAGTCAATAGTTCTTTTTAATCATTTCACTTCAAGCAAGACAATAAAAGCTACTAGGATGTAAGGAGAGTCGGAGAAACAGAAAGGACAATAAAAGCAATCTCTTCAATCAGTTTGAAGTGCTGTCATTGACTGCTGGTAAAGCAGAATACTTTGCGAGTAAAATCCACTCTCAACTAATCCAGACATATCTCTCAGTAGTTCCTGTTTTGAAAAACTCTGGTGAAACTTACGATCCGTCTAACTCTTTTTGTCAAAGTACTAGAGGTTCTAATAAACCTCTAGGAGAGCAACCCACTCGGCCTTCTTGATCTCGCGTTTCCCATTGATGACATGAAGTGAAATGATTATATTGAATCAATTGCTAGGTCTGTTGCCAGAAAAGTTGGTTTAATGTGTCGTGTTAGATAATCTTTCTCGACAGAATCTGTCTTACAAGTTTATACATCTCGTTTAGTGCTCTTGCTACATATCTCAACATTTTTGACAAAATCCAAACAAGAGTCTGTAATGTTATCAATCTTGACCTGGTATCTCGACTTCAACCACTTTCCCACAACCATAACGTGGCTTCCCTGTGTCTATTCTGTAAATATTTTAATGATTATTGTTCTGATGAGCTTTACTCCTTCGTGCATCCTTGATTTTGATCTAGATCTCTTCGTTTTAAAGTTGAAATTATTAGATGTAACCGCAAGTTCTATTTTACTAGTTTCTTTTTCTCGCACTTCTTGCATGTCGAACCCTCTTTCGGTTTCTTGCCTGTCATCTATGGTCTTTAAAAAATTAAACAGAAAGGACCATTTTCTGTCTTTCTGTTTTCCTGTTCTTTTATTAGCCTCACTAACATTTTCTTTCACTTTCAGTAACTACTTGCGAGATATAGTCCCTTATTTAGGGTGAAATGACATATAAAAAATGAACACTGTTGTCAGTATCGAATGGCAACAGTCAATTTCATATTTAAATGCAATCTTCAGGCCATGTGTGTTGTGTGAAGTCTCGACTATTTATATATGATGATCAATGGCGTATTATATGTATCAAAGTTAAGTATTTCCGATCTGTTGTATTATGACCTTGCTACCCATAAATCCCCATAGACCAGCACAAATAAGTAGACATCGCACGATACACATAGCCTTAAAATTGTGTTCAAGCATGAAACAGACTGTTGCCACTCGGTGTTGACCTCAGTATTCACTTTTATATTTACACACGCTATATTTCTTATATTGAGCACTTTTACCCATAAACATAGCATAGCTTAAAACTATATCTGTAAAATCAAGTGTATATTAAAATAAAAATAATTTTTACTCATTGTTAAATCAAAATTAAAATTCATAATTAGCAACACTAAATTTATTTATTGTTATTTTAAGATGAAAAACATTTTCTTAAGCGTATTACGTTATTCTAATGCTTGAATAAATATGTTTTACGCCATGCAGTTTTCTCCCATAAATAATCTGGGAAGTGAGAGTAAATTTCATAAAGCTGCTTGCTAAGATACTACTGCTTTCTGTTTATTGATTATTGTTAAAATTTGTGGTGTCTCCTAATAAGAGTAATTAAGTGGACACGATGTTTGTTGAACACATAGAATATCTTGCCTAATGCATCTGTTCAATAGATTTTTAAGGTAGAACCTTTCATCACATGATCTTCACTGAACGAGCACACACTCTAACATATTTTTCGAATTCAAATTTCCTGTATTGTTTCTACTTTTGGGATTCGTGTGTGCCTGTGGTATTCATGAAATGGTGCCTGTGGTATTCATGAAATGGTGCCTGTGGATGTTTTGAACAGTTCTGTCTGCTTTAAACGTATCCCTAATACGAACAATAGTAAGTTGAGCTGGTGGAATTGTTTGAAACACTTTTCTAATCTGTTTTTGGTGTTTCATTTACGTTATCTAACAGTAACACTTTAAGATAACTTTTCTTTTCTCAAACCTTAGTTTCGTCATGGGCCATAAAACTATATTTTAGACATCCTGCATTAAGCGACTTTATGTCTGGCTTATATGAACATATTATTAGAATTTATGCTCATCATCCGAAGAATATCGAATAAGAAATATTCAGCATTATCTATTAATTATCAATACGTACCACCAAAATGGATGCATTTTTTTCTGAATTGAAAGCAAAACAAATGCTAATCCCTGCTTTAAAATATTTTCCAAAAATCAGGGGATTACCAGATTAAAACGAAATTTTTAGTACTTATCCATTAATTAATGATTTGTATAGTGAAAGAATTTTATGAGAAAGAATGGTGGAAATATCTCGGGGTGAGTGTCTGTTTCACCCCCTTTTCGATATCTCCTGTGTACTTTTCAATTTGGGAGGGTGTTCGTGAATTTCTTTCTTTTTATATAATGAAAGATCCTTGAAGACGTTATATCAGTAAAAATAGTGAATACAATATCAAGTGTAAAAATATGGAAAACTTGTAAATAGTTTACCAAAGATAATTCAATAAAACTCAAAAAATATGCTTTTGAAAATTGGTGCTTGCATAATTTAATAAAACATATCTTCTTTCAGAATCGACAAAAAAGTCTACACTTGATAATTTATTTTACCAAAAAATTACATGTAATTCATTCTGTTATTGGTTGGCACGAGTTTTTTTTTTATTAAATAAAAAGATCTTTGGAGAACCAAAAAATGCAAAATTTAATGCCATCTTCGAGTGTGAACCATTTTTAAAATGATTTTATTTCTTCCTTTTTATCAACTGTTAGATTATTTTTGTATGCATGTACAAAAGGGAAATAATTCTTGATTTCTCGCCTTTGATCATTCTACTAAATTTCATAAAAGCATAAAAAACTGTATTCTTAAACTATTATTATTATAATCA